GGGTATGGCCACTCTGCAATCCCTTCTCCTCCATTCTCCTCTCGGGATCTTGGGCACGCATGCACACGCACCCGGTGAGAGTTTTAAGCCACTGGGTCTGGGACGTGAACCACAGTTGACTACATGGGAGTCCAGCAACACAGCCATTATGCTAACTGCTGGTCCCATTATTACCATTATTTTTAAGAATTATTTAATTCAGCTTTATTTATCCACTTATTTATTTATTTAATTTGACCAGAGAAAGACAGAGTGAGAGAGAAAGGGAGAAAGTGAGAAAGCAAGCCGCCAGGTCCGGGACCTGAACTGTGGTCAGCCATGTGGTAGTCCAGCACCCTCAACCACCATGCCACCTGCTACACACATCCAGCATGTTTTCCAGGCCTCAAGGTCTGGAACTCAAGTCATGGTGTCAGCCATATGGCATCCAGCCTCCTTCACCTCCATGCCACCTGTCGGCCTGGACTCAGGTATTTCTAAGTAATACAGTAATAGACCAAGACAGGGCCTTGGCCCCTTCTTACCTCTGGAACTCTCTGTGTCACTACATGGCTCATGCCTTCATTTCCTGGGCCTCTTCAAATATTGCCTCCTCTGGGGCCAGCAGATAACATGGTGGTTGGTGTGGTGGTTAAGGAACTGAATTTCCACGTGGTTGATGGTGGTTTGAGTCCTGGCAGCTTGGAAATTACGCTGAGCATGTGTGCATGCATGCCCAAAATCTGGAGAGGAGAAGGGAGGAGAAGGGATTGCAGCAGGACCATCTCCTTAGGGGGTGGTGGTGGGGTGGTGGTGGTGGTAGTGGCCATCCCCCACGGGGGGGTGAGTTCTTTCACTTTCTCTGTCTCTCTCTCTCTCTCTTTCTGGTGAGCGTATACACTCTATAGGAAAAAAATATATATACCTCTCAAAAAAAAAAAAAAAAAAAAAGAAAAGAAAAAAAACAGAAAACCCTTCCAAAGGTGGTCTATGAATGCCTTATCTAAGAGGGACCTCCTCTCTCCAACACGTGGCTCTCTAACCCTTTAGTCTGCTTCTGTGTTCTCAGTAGAACTTGTCAACATCTGCTGTGTACGTACTTGTTTATTTATGTTATCTAGAACACAAATGGCACGAAGGCAAGGCCTTTGCTCTGCTCACGACAGGTTCCCCAGTGCCTCCAGGGGTACCTGGCACGTGCCGAACCCTCAGCTGATATTTGCTATGTTGCTCTGAAAGCATCAATCTCCGTGTTTTTTAGCACAAATATTGATTTTTGTGGAAGCACTGTGTGTTTTTCAGTGGAGGGTTGATGAATTTTCTAGTTGACAAGGAGCCATTGGAGATGGGAACATTACTTTATTCAAACAGTGTGAATCTTTTCAAAAAGGCCCCAGTACACGACACTACGAAACCATGGTCTAAACAAGGTTGCTTTGTAACGGGTGGGCTGTAGGATCCATCTCACGCAGACCCGATTTGGTCCAAGATCCTTGGGGATGGAGGGAGGAACGGTAAGGGTGGTGTGATTTTATTTTTTTTTTTTTTCCCCACAGAATCACCATGGCTCATTGCTAGATCTGAAGCTTTCTTTTGCCCCTCAGTTTTAGAGACTAAAACCAGCTTTACATGGTTTTGTGATGAGGCATGAGGATTGCCTGAGTAGCAGGTGAGGGTAGTGCAAGCTTCCAAGTCCAGTGGCCTCGTACACTATTCAGAAGGGCTTGGGGGAGGGTGGTGGGAGAGCAGTGGATGCAGGAAATGGATGAGAATAGGTAAAGCCAGGTGACCAGCAGGGGACCTTTGAGCAGGGCCAGCAGGCAGGGAAAATCTGGTCATAATCATGTGGGGGAGTGATGGAGTGAATCTAGAAGCCAGTTCTTATTTGTCCAAGGTAGAAGGACTGACTGCCTAGGAATTGTGGATTTGGGCCGGAATTAAGACAGGGTTCACATCTTGGGTGGAGAAGTCACCCTGGGAAATATTTCAAAACCTAGCCCTGTTTATTTAGTGCCTCCTTCTTCTCTGTTATCAAGACTTGAGTGAAATATCAAGTTTTACCTGGGTTGGAGTCACCACAAACCTTGTCAGCCGCTAATCCCTGAGGGTAAGTTTAGCCCTCAAGTCTTTTCCAATAGACAGAGCCTTTCTAGACAGGATCATTCTGTAGCAGAATTTATTTTCCGAAAATATTTACAATCATATCTTCTATCACACGTCAAAGTGACCTTGACAATCCTCCCATTGAGTGGTGGGCTCTCTGTCCCCTCCATTGGACCTTGGGGGAGTCTTCGGCACTTGCATCTGAGAATGATAGCAGATTCTAGAATGCCTCAGCACCCTTGCCCTCCATAATGTCTCTTCTGCGTAGCTTTTCATGGTTCTTCCCTCTCCGAACTTGTTCACGGACTTCCTGCTGGCAGAGGCAAATTCAGTATTCTTGCCCTGATCACTGTGCTAGAGCATCAAGTGAGACTCTCACCTTTGTCCCTCAGATCATGCAGGAGGTGATTGGCCCAGCCTGTGGTATACGGGTTAAAGAGGCTGGATTCCACATGGTTGACTGGGTGGTTCAAGTCCTGGACTCAGCAGCTTGAGAAACATGCCAGGTATGTGTGCGTTCATGTCCAAATTCCCAAGGGAAATGGAGGAGAGGAGATTGGTGTGTGGCCATCCTCCTGAGGGGTTGATTTCTCACTTTCCCTTTCTCTATTTCTGTTTGGTAAGCACATGTGCCCTATTGTCAATGAACAAAACAAAACAAAAACCACAAAAGGTGTTACCTGCAAAAAAGGCACCTATCAGAACCGTGGGAGTCAACTATCCTTGGGGATCTGTAATTGCAATTTACCCTTGAGGGGCTGTGAATTCTTTCAGGCCAGAAAGAGAAACACCTGTTCACCACCTCCCTCCTTCACCTTTCCCTAGATCTTTTGTTATGATGACACCTTGGTCAATAGGAAGCGTCAGGATCTTAAACTCGAGGAGCTAGGGCTGGAGTTGGAGCTGGTGGTGGGTGATTTGGGTTCTTCCTGTCAGTTCAGATTTTGGAGCATGGGATCGAGGCTGGAGACAAGCTTCCGGTGTCAGGTGGCTAGTACTTTATGAACGGAGGTGGGATAGTGAAAGCCTCTGGTAATCAATGTCTCTGTGGATCCTGGAGAACTTCCAGCGTCCTTGAGGGAATGTCCAGCTAGGCTCATCTTGTCCAGAGAAGAGCTGGGATGTATAAAGAGGGGATAAGAAAGAGGGGGCGTGGGAGGCTGTGCTAGTGCCTTCTGCCCTTCAAGTGTGATGCCGCCTCGGCCTCTCCTGGGAGGCAGGATGGAGTCTCATGAGGATTGAAGTCCATGGAGGTTCCTGGCACCAGTTACGTCCCAGAGCATCATGTGCCTGCACAGGGCGGGGTGGTGGTCCCGATAATCCAGGCATCAGCTTACATCGTCCCTCGTGGCAAATCCTACACAAGGGTGTTCTCTGTCTCAGGAGTCGCTCTGTCGGCACACACGTCCTTCTTTCTCCCTGGTGAGATCAGAAGGAAAGTTACTCTCCAGTGTTTGGAATACTGATATGTTTGGTCTGGATCCAGACCTCTGAACCCTAAGTCTCCTGAACCAAGCCAAAGGAACTTCTCTCTGGTCTTCCCAGACCTGGGAAAGGGAGAGTCTTTAAGAACAGGAAGTTCTTTCTAAAGTGTAACCTTGATCTGTAGAAGGCACAGGAAGTTAGGACTGTAATGAACCCTGAACCCAATTAAGTGGCCAGAAGCCGAGTGGCAGAGCCAGGACCAGCTGCTGGACTCTGTGTGGGGACTCATCTCAGGTTCTTGGGTCTTCAGGTCCTCCTACTCTCCTTTTTCAGTGGCAAAGCTACCATTTTGTTGTTTTTCTAGAGGGTGTGTGTGTGTGTGTGTGTGTGTGAGAGAGAGAGAGAGAGAGAGAGAGAGAGAGAGAGAACCCTCAGGAGAGTCTCATCATGTTGTGATCCCCTTTCCCCAGCCCTCCAGCTCCTCAGATTCTCGATGTCCCTGTGTGGATGGTTCCATTTACACGATATGTCCGAACAGACAAATGTACAGAGACAGGAAGTAGATTAGTTGCTACTTAAGGCTGAGGGAAGAATGGGAGAATCAGGGCCTATAGAATTCCTTGGTGGGGTAATGGAAAAATTGATTTTAAAAATTCAAAAATTGATTATGGTGATAAATGTACAACTCTCTGAATATACTAAAATCCATTCAATTGTGCATTTTTAAGTAGGTGAGTTGTATGGTATGTTAACTATATTTCTATCTTTCTTTTTATTCAGTTTTTGCCATAGAGCATGTGTGCTTGCTGGAGAGAGACAGAGAGACAGAGAGAGAAGGAACGTGAGAAATTATCCCCCCAGGGGGGCTGACCACATCATAATCCCTTCTGTATTCTCCTCTTGGGATTTTAGGCACACACACGTGCCCAGTATATTTTTTAAGCTGGTGGGTCTGAGACTTGAACTGTGGAATCAGCCATGTGGGATCCAGCACCTTAACCAGCGTGCCACCAGCTGACCCATTATATTTCAATAAAGCTATTTTTTATTAAAAAAAAAAAAGTGTTTTATTTTTTTCTTTCCAGCCTTCCACCTTCTTACTACAAATCTTGGGGTTTCTCTGAGCAAAGGGTCAGGACCAGACCTTCTCCATAGACAGCAGACGGGGTCTCTAGGTGTGCTGTAGCCTCGCCTGCTTCCTCTTCACCTACTTCCCCCAACACACAGCAACCGGCACTCCCCCCACGCCAGCCCCATACCCAGTGGCTGGGCTGAGACTCCTGCCTGCTTGGACCTACCATAACATGGTCTTGGTGCCTTCCCTTTGCTGACCCTGGGGCCACAAGCTCAGACAGCTGAGGATGGCAAAGGCCACGGAGCCCAGGTCAGTTGGGCAGTCTTTCAGGGCAGGGCCTTGGCGGGGGGTGTTGAGGGGAGACAGCGCTGAGCTGGATGTAGAACGCAGAGCCTGACGTCAGAGTTCCCCTCTCCTGCTTTTCTCATGAAGACAGCCCCATCAGCAACTGGCCAAGGAGGGGCTTTCTCAGGGGGAGCCTTTCCCTAGGGGTGATAGGCGAGGAGGGGAGAATTCAACTAGGCCTTCACTCTATAACATCAATCCCAGCTACCATTATATTCTAGGAGCCACTGAGCATGACCAGCCTCTGACCTGAAGGGGCTCAAATTCTTGGAGGAAGTAAGTGTGATTAGTTCTGAGACTTAAGTAAGCAGATGAGAGAAATCACATGGAGCAGCCCGAGGGGGACAGGGGAAGAAGGTCTGGAAGGCTTCCTGGAGCACACTCATCTTGAAAACGAGTAGGAGTAGGCGATAACTAAGCAAAGAAAGGAAGTAGGAGGGACGATCCAGGCAGGAGAATCTAATGTGCAAAGGCCTGAAGGCCTTTCTGTTTTTCTATGCAAAAATGCATCATGATATTTCTGATGACCCAGTAGTTCAGTCTGGCTGGAGAGTGAAGTCTGAGATGGTGGCCAGGAGATGAGATAGGGAAGGTACAAAGGGACAGATCCCCTGAACTGTAGCAGGAAGGAGGTCCAACCACGCCCAGTAAATCCACCCACCCACCTCCTGTAGGACTCATACCTGAGCAGGAGCCACAGTGCCAGGCACAGAAGAGGCCAACCAGAAGGATCAGGAGCAGTGAGACCGGCACCACCACCAGAAACACATCTTTATAGAAGGCCTTTCCTGGTGCTGGACATGGAGGGCTGTGGTCAGAGGTGGGCCTGGTGCTTCATAACCCCTCAACCACTGACCACTGGCCTCTGGCATACCTGTCTCATGATGGCAACTCTCCCAGGGGGTGACTGTGGTTAAGTCCCAGCTGACGGGGTTGGAGACAATGCAGGAATAGGACACACCCTTCTCTCTTGGTCCCAGGGAAACACTCAACACCTGTCCATCTGTGAAGAGGCTGTGTGGTTCGATTCCGAAGTCCATTGTCCCCTCTCGTCGCCAGCTATAAGTTATGTCGCTGATGTTGGGGGCCCAGCAGGACAAGAAGACCTGGCAGGTCTTGGGGGCAGCCTCTGCTAGAGCAATGAACACTTGCACCACCGGCCTGGGCACTGCATCTGAGCAAGAACGGTAGAGCAGGGTTACAGGGATGCCGGGCAGGGCCCACAGTTCCAACTTTGGGCTCCGCGTGGGGTCAGATACTACTTCGGACTAGGACTCTCTTGGTTCAGAACCTCGTCTGGCTTCCCACTGCCTGCCGGACAGCGCTCGGCCCTGCAAACCCTCCGTGAAATGTTTCCTGTCAACCTCTCCAGCTGTGCCTTCTGCTAGTCCTCCCTGCCCACCCTGACTAATTTGCAGTTCTCCCAAACAGCCATGCTGTTAGGGATCTTCCATGAATTTCTATTTATCATCTGTGCACATATATGCTTTCTCCTTCTTGTCCTTCTAGAGGACTCCCCCCCACCCTTCAAGGCCAGCTTGGGTACGATGCTTACCGCCTTCGCTGGGCAGCCTTTCCTGATATTCTAGGCATGGCTCGGAGCTCTCCAAGCATGCTGCCTCTCTCTTTTGTTAACTTCTCTCATGGTATGTTAGTCAGTCAACAAGAGACAACAGCATTTATTAAATCAGGCAAGAAAACGAATACATTTCTGACCTTTTGGAGCTTACAGTGTGGTGGGGAAGACAGATCCTGACAAGTGATTATGAATAATTAAGAAAATAATTACGAGGGCACAAAACACTGTGAAGAAATAGCCCAGAGGTAGGGGCCCTGTCTTGTTCTTTCCATAACCTTGGCTCTCTAGTGCTGGCAAATAGCAGGTGCTCGGTGCCTGGGCCTTTGAACAAATTGATGCTCTGAGCCGTGGCTCCCGTTTCCTACACAGGTTGATGAGTAAATCCCGGTCTCAGTGGCAGTGGGACCAGCAGGAGAGCATTCTGGTGACAACGGGAGGGCTCAGTCTCTGACAGCATTCCAAAGTCAAGCAGAGTAAAACCTCGTTAATGCCAGCTCAGTCTGGTGGGATTTGCGATATGAAAAACGAAATGATTTGCTGGGCACACTAATAGTATAAACAAAGATTACAGGGGGGGATATTTACATCACTTAAGAGGACAAGCTGCTTCCAAACACGAGCAGGCACAGTAGAGACACCCATTGACATTTCCAGTAACTGATCTGCTAATTCGAATCATTCTTATCTATTGTCAAAGCAGAGCTCCTAAGGACGGCTGCTTTGGCAGCTTCGTGCAATTAGTTCTAATCACACTATGTATTTGGAAGCAATAAAACAGCAATTTCCTTAAAATCTGTAATTCAGATGCTGAGAACAAGGCATTTCAGAGCTTAGCGGTGTGGGTGCTGCATGTATTATCACTCTCGATGTCCTCGTTTCACACGTGTGGCAGCCCAGACGCAGAATGGGGAGAGGCCTGGGGCTGCCTGTGTGCTTGTGTGGGTTATTGACTGCACACAGGCACTGGGCCGAGCAGGAGGAGTAGTGGTTAGGGTGGTGAAACCCAGCCAGCATTCTACCTGTCGGCGATGTGCAAACTTGTCCAAGGCTCCATGCATCCTGAAGGACATTCTTTTCTTTCTTTCCTTCCTTCCTTCCTTCCTTCCTTCCTTCCTTCTTTCCTTTCTTTCTTTTTTTAAAGTTTATGAACTTATCTCTCCCATGAGCAAGAGAAAGAGAGGCAACACCTTCGACAGAGTCCTGACTCTGAGATCCACCCCCAGCCTCAGCTGTCCCCAGCTCACCGCCTGCATGTGGCTGGTACGCTCAGGAGGGCTCTAGGCTTGAACCGGCAACTTTCCCATGTGGGACTGCCTCACAAAACATCGTGCCTCACCCCTCCACCACTGTCCGCCCTCCCCAATAGGGGACCCTCTACATGCACATCAGCACCCTGAACAGGGGCAGCAGTGAGCTGTCTTTGGGGGTTTGAGACACCTCCCCAGTTTACTTAATTCTTCCCAGCTGTCACCTTTGCTTTGAAAACTTAAATCTAAACTTCCCTCCACCCCCCACTCTCTCCAAGTTTTTAAGGTTGTACTGAAATGGTGACTTGGGGTCACTCCACCTTTTTCCTCAGGCATCGGCTACATAAAGGAGAGCTAATAGGCCATTGTTCCTGGATCAGCAGCAACATGGTAGAGGTGGAGGTGAAGTCCTTGGAAAGAAAAGGCCACTCAGCTCCCAGGCAGTTCAGCCCAGAGGAGACAATCCAGCTACATGGGTAACCACAGCAGGCCCTCCTGGGCAGCTGGGCCCCACCACCCACAAAATCATGAGAAATAAATCATTGTTGTTTTTAAACAACAAGTTTGGGGATGTTTTGCAATGAATGACTGAGAGAACCCAGGAAGGATACAGGATTCAAATCTCTCTGAAAGATTCCTTCAGGAGTACAGCGACGTGGCCCAGCCGCCCCACCCCAGTATAGCAGTAACACAGGCTGGAAACGATATGGCCAACTGGGCGTTCCTATCCTGCAGGCTGGCCTGAAAACAGGCCAGGGTCCTGAGGACCTGGAGGGCTGGGAAAAGGGGTTCACAGTGTGGTAGGACCCAGCCCATGTTGCTTTTCTCTCTCTCTCTCTCTCTCACTTGTGCATGTAAGCACTCTCTATCAAAAAAGAAAAAGAAATGGCCACATTCTATAGTTTTAATTATAGCTTAATTATGATCCTTTTATTTAAAGAGAGATTTTTGGTATAGGGTGCGTGTGCTTGCTAGAGAGACAGAGACAGAAAGAGAGAAATCATCCCCAGAAAGGATGGTCATGCCACGATCCCTTCTCCTTCATCCTCCTCTCAGGATCTTGGACGCACATGCACACGCACCTGGCATGAGTTTTAAGCTGCCGGGTCTGGAACTTGAACCACGGTTGACTACATAGGAGTCCAGTGACGTAACTGTTATGCCATCTGCTGGTCCCAGCTGAATTACAATTTAATTTTAAGTAAAAAACCCATCGTGTCATTGGGTTCAATTGGTATATTTTTCTTTTTCTCTGTAGTGGTAGATAAAATAACAGCACATCTTAAAACGTATTTTTTGAAGTTTATTTATGATAGAGAATGTGTGCATGTACATGTGAGCGAGAAAGAGGGAGAGAGAGGCACCCCGGTAGAGTCTCGCCACATCACAACCCCGTTCCCCCAGCTCCCCAGCTTCTTAGAATCCTGAGTCCCCACACACGGACCTGGGGTGTTTTCAGGCCAACTGGGCTGAGGACACAATTTCGGGCAGTCATGTGGCTTCCAGCACTGTGGTCTAGGACCCTACTGACTGTGCCACTGAGGCCGGGTAGCATCTTATGACTCAGGAGACTTTAGAATTGTTGATGCACAGGCCAGGTTCTGCCCCAGACGCGTTTGCACACTACTGCATTTTACCCTCCTAGGCACGAGGGGGAATCGTGCCTGTTTTCCAATGAAGAAACGTCAGGTTTAGAGAGGTTAGCAATGGGCCCAAGGCCTTTGAGCCAGGGAGAAGAAGAGCTGGAGTTCAGGTGAGGATGTGACGGCAACACCCTGCTAGTCCAGATGGGAGCTCCCCTGGGTGTCCCTGGGGAGTTTCCTTAGATGTCGCGGCAAGGAGCAGCTGTTCCCAGTTGTCGAACTAGAACCCAGCTGGCCCCAGCCCCCAGAGCTCAGGATGTCTGTCTGGTGCTTTGTGGGAGGAAGAGTCAGGGAGCCAGTGTCAGGTGCACTCACCATACACCTTGAGCTGCAGGGTCTGGATCTGGGCCCGGCCCCCCTTGTCCACCATCAACACGGAGAAGTTGCCGCTGTCCGCAGACTCCAGTGGCCCGAGCTCCAGGCTCAGGTTGCTGTGTAGCTGGGCTCGGCCCAGGAAGCGGGAGTGGTACAGAGTCTCTGGAGAGCCCCGGAAAAATGTGGCCAGGAGCTCCTCTGAAGGCCAGAGAGATCGCCAGATGGCCTCGCGGACTTGGAAGCCTGGGGGGTGCTCTGCCACCAGGAGCACTGAGTCCCCCACTTTGCTCAGCACCTGGGTGCCTCGAACCACGGTGGGAAGTAGTGCTGAAAGATCAGAACTCATGTCATTGCCTGCCCCATGCGCCTCACCCCTCTCCTGCACTGACTGAGCTGTTAGGAGCGAAGGAGCATCTTCCCTTCCCCTATGCCCCTCCACTCCAGCTGAGGGCACAACATGTCAGACCCTGGGGCAAAACAGCAAAGAGAATGCCCGGGTCCCTGCATGTATGGAGCTCGCAGAGGAAGCCACATGCTCTGGCAAGCGATGGAAACCAATTATGCTAAGGCCCAGGATGGAAACAAGGGGCACTCTGGGAAAACACAGGAAGCGTGATGGCGGATTTTGTCCAGCCTTGAGGGCCTCAGAGAAGAAATGTCTAAGCTGACACCTCCACGAGAAATGGGAAGCAGCCAGACCAAGAGGAGGGCTGTCTGGTGAGGCTGGGGAAGCTTTACAGGCAGCAGGAACAGCAGGTACACAGGCCTGCAGGGTGCACCTGGGAACTGAAAGTGCTTCTCTGCAGGGGGAGTCGGAAATTACACTGTGGAGTTGACAGAAGCCAGCTCATGCAGGGCTCTGAAAGCAACAGCGGAGTCTGGGCTTTGTCCTTAGAGCAACGTGGGGTCTCAGACAGGGTTTAAGCAGGAGAGTAACATGATTAGATGCCTGGTTAGAAAGCTCACTCCAGCAGGGAGGTGGGGCATGCAATGAAGGCAGACAAGATCGAGGCTGCTTGCATTAATCCAAAGCAGAGGTGCTGGAAGCTTGATTTGAGGAAGGGAGTGACTGGGATGAGAAGTGCAGAAATCGAGAGAGATGGAGACAGGGCAATAAGTGGGGTTTGGTAATAGATTAGATCTGGAGAGTGAAGGAAGAAAAAGTCAAGGAAGGTTCCTAGGTCCTCGGGATCTACTGCATGCTGTTCTCTGAGACCCAGAAGAAGAAGAAGAGAAACAAACATGGGCTGAGATAGCGGGGTGCTATCGGGGGATCGTACTTGAGTTTGAAATATGAGAGCCACACCTCTGCTTGAGGTGAGCCAGACTCCTTCGCGGGTTAATTTCTGTTCATCCTTGAGGCATCACTAACTCCCTGGTCCCCCCATGCCTCACTGCAGGGTGCAGTCCGCTCCTCAGTGTTCCTACAGTGGCTTGCCATCACCACGCTGCCTGCCTGAGCATCACCATCTGTCACGAGGCCAAGAGCTTCTCAAGGACAATAATACTTCCCGGTCACCATCGTATTCCTCGTGCCCACCCCTGTGTAGGACAGGCTGTGGGAGAGGGTCTGCAGATTGAACCGAGCGAATGACAGGGTTTGCTGAGGACTGACCCTGCGGCTGCCCAGTGGTGGGCACAGGGGTGCAGCAGAATGGGAGCCGATGCGCAGCGTACCAGGTCTGGGAGTTTGAACAACGAGGCATTCTGGGTGCCCACCAGTCAGCCTCAGTACCTCCAGGTCCTTGTCCCCCTCACCGCCCTCTCTGGCCCTAGCCACCTCTGTGCCGGCTGGACATAGCTTTCGTGTTAATAGAGCGGAGACAGAGACACAGAGAATCGCGCTGGGTGTGGATTAAGACCTAGCTTCTCATGACCCGAGGTCCAATGAGCTGGAGGACTGGAGGGAGGGGTCATGGAATAAGCAGACCCCGTGGACAGTGCTTCTCTCTCTTCCTCTCATGTGCATGCACATGCTCTATCATGAATAAAAAAAAGTTAAGAAAAAAAGTTAAAAATCTTTCAGAACAAGACATCCTGAAAGTGGAAATATCCAGAGCAGAGTGGAAGTGGGCGGCAGTCTTTCCATCCTGTCTTAACTCTGCCCCAGGTGAACCCTGTGACCTTCAGCATGTGACCTCCCGACCTCCCGGGGCATCATTAAAATATTGAACCAGATTGGCTCTATTGATTTCTTCCAGTAAAATAAAGGGTTGAACCAGATTGGCTCTATTGATTTCTTCCACCATGAAGAGACCTTTTAAAAGTTAATTAAAAAAAATCCACATACCCAACTATTTGAAAGATTTCATGAACCAAATGGATTGAGGCGTTCCTTTGAGGGTTAGAGTGTGATTTCCCACACGTACTTAGGAGTATTGAAAAGAGCTGGCACTGTGAGCCCTGTGGATACAAATCCCACATAGCTGACTGTATTTCGAGTCCTGGCCCTGGAGGTCAGCAGATGGGGTGCTGGTTATGACAGCTGGACTCCCACATGGCCAACTGTGGTTTGAGTCCCAGACTCACACTGGGCACATGTGCATGCATGCTCAAAAATCCCGAGAAGAGGATGGAGGAGAAAGGATTGCAGCATGGCCATCCCCCTGGGGGAGGATTTCTCCTTTTTCCTCTCTCTGTCTCTCTCTTCTCCAGTGAGTACACATGCCCTATGGCAAAAAACAAACAATACAAAACAAAACAAAACAAAAAACAAAAAAAGAAAAAGAAAATGAAAGTAAAGGAAACACTCTGGGCACATGTGCATGCTTACTCAAAATCCTGATGGGATGGAGAAATGAAGGAAAAAGAATGGAGGTTTGACCATGTGCCATCAGGAGATGCTTGTACTCTCTGACAAAGGAAAAAAATAAAGAAATCTGCAAGGCCTTTGGAGGCCTCAGGACCAGGAACTTGGGCAGGAACCCCAGAAAAAGCAAACTCCAAGTCCCTATGAGTCTGAAGTAAACAACAACAACTGGTCTTTGTCATACCCCACTACTCCCATCCGTGGCCCTGCAGTGCTGACACATGCCACACTGGCTACTTGTTGACTGGACAAGGGAACTCAGCCATCAGACTGGTAGAGGGACAGCCTGGTGTTGAAGAGACCCCATGTCAACTCTTCCAACATCACACAGTGGTCAGCCACCCTCAAGGCTGTGCGGACCATAATGAGGCCGCAGAGACTTCAAAATGTTCATGAACCAATGAAGTTAAAGCATGAATTTTTTGGAGGGCAAAATACTTGAAATCCATGCATAGCTGTTTTTGTGACATGCTTTGTCCTGGAACTCTTTGTATTTAACCTGCTCCTGCCTCTCATCCGTCTTTGAGATCTACCTCTCTTTACATGGGCCTGCAGGGAAGGACTTCGGCCTTCCCACCAGCTGTTGAAAACACACATCTCAGCTTGCAGGAAGCCCTTCTTGGTCCTGCACTTCCCACCTCTTCCCAGACTGCATCAGCCTTTCCACGTGTTAACACGGCCAAATCCTCACCGTTCTCACAGCCAGCTTTCTTCCCCAACCAGCAGAATTTGGCTCCGTCTAACTCCCTAGGTCGCAGAGCAGCTCCCGTTTCATGGACACGGCTGCTCTTAGTGCTGCCCCCTCTCCTCACGTAGGACCCTGCACCTACATATCCGTCTAGCTTTACATGTTGCCTAAGAACTTGCTTCGGAAAAAAAACTCAGCTCCTGGATTCTCACACTTTGGGAAACCCAGTCCGGCTCTCTAGGCCAGGCCAGCCACCTGCCCCACTTACCTTCCCAGAGCAGCAGACTCCACAGGGACCACACAGCCATTCTTCTCCAGAGAAGCGGGCAGAGTCCCTCAAAACCCACATCCAGCGCATCCCAGACCCAGTGAGTGCACGGAAGGAGCTGTGGTCCTTCTGGAAAGTCCCATGTTCAGAAGAGGGAATCTTGACTCAGAACGAGATGTCCTGAAAGCGAAAACATCCAGAAGAAAGTGGAAGTTGGCTGCAGACCTCGCTGGGCTTTCTGGAGCAGATTCCTGTAAGTCAGCCTCTTTCACATGCACACGGTTGGGTAATGCTTGGCGACAAGCGCCCCCGCCTGAGCCCACATCCTCCTCCCTGAGCCTGGCCAGGCCTCCCGGCATCCACCCCTGCTTCCTGCTGTCTGCCTTCCTGCTTCAGGCTGCTTCTCTGGGCTGGTCGCCACACCTGTCTCTCTAGCCATCCCACACCAGAACCCCTGCTCACAGCTGCTGATTTCAACACTGCACCCCTTGCCCTTGTTCTCCATTGGGCAGGCTCTTCCATTTACCCTTCCACACTGGGGGCAGCTGTGTGGCCGGCCAGGCTGTCCTTCAGCCTTCCTACCACAGGGAGGGTGGCAGACCTCCTGCTCTGTGCCCCATGTGTGACCCCCCTCTGTCTTTGCCCTTCGCACACTGTTGGTATCCATAGCAGCCTTGCGGTCTTTACAGCCTGTTTAGCAGGAAGGTCTCGTATTCACTTCTGCCCCCCCCCCTTGGTGTGCAACACGCTGTCGATGTGTAATAAATACCCGTTAAATGAGTGAATTAGTTCTCAGTGTGATCAGACATTTTGCCTTACGGAAGCCCTATGACTCTTCTCTGAGAGGATGGTCTTCTCACCTTGGTAGAGACGGGAAAATGAGAAAACCAGAGTGAAGTGGCATGGTAGTTAAGGCACTGGATCTCACACGGCCAGATGTGCAGTTTGAGTCCTGGACCTGGAGGCTTGAAAATCATGCCAGGCACCTGTGTGTGCATGTCCAAAATCCCGAGAGGAGACTGGAGAAGGGACTGCACTGTGGCGTGACCATTCCCCTAGAGGGTGGTTTCTCAGTTTCCCTCTCTCTCTGGCAAGCACACATGCCCTACAGCAAAATAAAACAAAACAAAACTAAATTAAACTAAAAGTAAAAATAGTAACAAAACAAAACAAAAAATGAGGTGGCATTTTGCCAAGGCCACAGAGGGGCCCAGTGGGACGCGAATCTTGACCTGGGATGCGTGGTTCATTTGCCGCAGTTGCCCCTCCTCCCCCTGCTTCTCTTCTCACTTTAAGTTGCGTGATTTCTAATGTTAGGGGAGGCTTTCTGTGCCATTGTCCCCTGAGGAAAATTCCTGGTTGTCTGTGGTGTGGCATGCCGGTGTTTGGTCCTGCATAGTCTCTGATCTGTCAAACCAGACACTGTGCTTTGGATCCTGCATATGTGGGGTGGTGGTGGGGGCGGGGGAGGTGGGAAGGCTTTCAAAAAGTTCACAATGCATACTGTGCAAAACCTGGGCCAGCCAGGGGTGCCACTCCCACAACACACACACACTAGGGTTGCTTTCTCATTGTTACCTCTCTCTCTCTCTCCCAGGTGAGCATATGTACTCTGTAGCAAATTTAAAAAAGAAGAAAAATCAAACTAAACATTTTTTTGCACCAAAACAAACTTGTATTTTAATTCAAAATTTTCATAAAATGTTTGAAGTCCCCTCATGTAGGATGGGAGTGGGGGTAAACAGGAAGATTTAGGGAAGATTCCTGCCCTCCACGTCAGACACATTAGAAACAGGGCTGGCCCTGTGCCCTGGTGCTTAAGGGAGTGGATCTCACATAGCCAAACGCACAGTTTAAATCTCAGACCCAGTGGCTCGAAAAACACTCTGGGCACATGTGCATGCATGCCCCAAATCCTGAGAGGAGGGAGGGATGGAGGAGGGATTGTGGCCACATTCTAGGGTAACTTCTCCCTCTGTATCTCTGTCTCTTTTTGGCGAGTGCATGTACCCTGTGGCAAATTTAAAAAACAAAAAGCAAAACAAAACAAAAAGCAGATAAAGCAGGGAAAGTGAAGGCCCATGGCGGACAGGCAGCACTCTGCAAAGGGGCAAGGCTGCAGGAGGTCGCTGTGGGTCTAGGCAACGCTTCCCGAGAGGCAGAATTTGAACTGTACCTTGAGGATGGGATCATTTATTAGGTTGTCTAGAAAGTCGTGACGTATTTCTCTATGTCTTCCTATGGAAAAATGTGTCATGACTTTCCTGATGACCCAATAGCTTGATGAGAAAAAGCGGAGAGCCGGAAGTTGAAAGGTGGGCTCTGAGCATGGCGGGAGAACAGAGGAAAATGTTGGCTGCAGGAAAGCCCCAAGTCTTTGTCCCTGGAAAACGAGGGGACAGCAGGGAGGGAGCCACGCTTTAAGGCCAAAGCAGAAACAATTGGAGGGGATGGGGAGTTGGGTTCCAGAGACCCTGAACACCAGCCCAAGTTGCTCTGGAGACCAGGGGCGACCTTGTCTACCGCGCACTTGGATTCTTAGGGAGGCTGGTTTGGTGGAGCGGGGCGGGGTTGGGGCCAGGACGCTGCAGCTTAACAAGCGATCCCATCCTCTCTCATCCTCTCTCGGGTGAGTTTGGGGCGGGTGGCCTGGGACCGCTCTGAGAAGCACTGCTTGCTGAAAGGGGCTGCTGCCTGGGGGCGACGTGGGCTGGGAGGACAAGAGAGAAGGAAGCCTAGGTAACAGCTGCTGTGAGGCCCTGGGAAAAGAAGGGCCTGCAGGAGGCAGGAATACCCCCAGGGGAGAGAAAGGGGCGGAAGGGGAATCCTGGCAGATCTGGGGAGTTGCCTGGCTGCCGGTGGAGAAGGACAGGAGAGAGGGGAATTATTTACGACTCTGTCATTCATTCATCAGGCATTTATTGAGCATCTACTTAGGTGCCAGGACACGGGATCACAGAGATGAAAGGCTCAGCCCCTGCCCTCAGGGAGGTCATAGTTCAGGGGAGGAGATGGGCCAGGCAACCTGGCAATTACTACCATGGGGCATGGCTGTGCCAGATGTGCACACAGATGCTATGGGGGCCAGAAGGTGGATGCCAAACCCATCCTGGGTGGGTGCAAGTTGGGAGGGCTTCCTGGAGGGGATGGCATTGGAAGTGAACCTTAAGAATACGAACAGATGAGGATAGGAGTTAAGAACTCCAACTCCAGCATCAGACTTGTTCCACTTTTGCTAGTCTTGGCTAGCAAACCTTGAGCTAAGTAACTCCTCCGTGCATCAGTGTCTGCATCTGTGAAATGGGATGAGGAACAGTATCGTCTCTGGGTGTGGCCAGTGAACATCCGTGAGGGTTTAGAACAGGGCCTGGTGCGGAGCCAGCACGCCAGTGCGAACCATGGCTAGGGATGAGGACAGCCAGGTACATGCAGATGCAGGTGTGTGAGGGCAAGCAGCATCCTGGGACTCTCTTCCCCCGCCTGGGGGCTGCATGACAGGCTTCCGGTCCCCTTTCTCCACCGTGAACATTACCAAGGACAGGCTGCCTCTGAGGCGGTGCCTTCCAGCTTCTGTTGAATTGGATCTAATGAATCCAAGACCAGGTACTGGGAGAGCTGTGGAATACAGGAGTGAGGTCAGTGTGGGGTCAGGCCCTGAATTCCTCTGGAGGAGACCCTGGGCAATCACATTTCCTCTTCACAGAATTAGCTGCCCAGAGCGGTCCCTCCAAGGAGGGCAGGCATTGTTGTTTTCCCCTTTCCCACCCAACCCCACCCTCAAACCCCTTTCCTTGGGAGTCATTTGGGGAATTTGAGCAAGAGGGGAGGAAGAGGATGGGTGAGGATCAGCAGATATGTCATCTCCCCAGAGGAAATATCTTCTGGCCCTGTGAGGACTGGAGAAAGACAGCCTGAAGAAGGTGGCGGGCCTTCCTCTCAGGTGCAGGGAAGGGTTAAATCTGCAGCAAGCAGCTCTCCCAGCCACTGCTAATCACTGGTTCACACCACATTAATTACCCAGCCACAGGGGGGAGTGCATTGGAGTAAATTAGCTGGTGAGTTCAAAGGGGCCACTCC